GAAGTACCATATGATCTAGCAATGCCACTACTGAGTATACACCCAAAGGAGATGAAATCCATATGTCAGAGACAACTGCATTCCCAAGCTTGTTGCAGCAGTACCCACAACAGCCAAGGAATGGAGACAAGCAACATGCTCGTCATGTGACACATAAGGCGCAAAGAAAATGCACGTATGCACAGTGGAATCCTGCTCAACCACTGGAAATGTAGAATCTCGTCGCTTGTAACAACACAGATGAAACTGGAGATCATCCTGTTGAGTGAAATAAGCCAGGCACAGAAAGATAAGTGCCGCAGGATCTTACTCGTGTGTGGAATAAGAAAAACAATTGATCTGGTAGAAGTTGAAAGTAGAATGGCCGCTCCCAGATGCTGAGGAGAGTAGTGGGCAGGGAGAGATGAGGAGAGGCTGACCAGGGTTATTAAGTTATAGCTGGATGGGAGGAAGACGCTCAGCGCAGCGGGCTGACTACAGAGAGGACAGTGCACTGTGTGTTTCAAGTAGGTAGGAAGGATTGTGAATGTTTTCACCACCAAACAATGAGAAATGTTTGAGGAGACATGTTTATCCTGATGTAAATATTGCACGATAAATACAAGGCAGGAAACATCACATGCCACCCCTGTAGTTTGTGTATTTGATGTGGCGATTAAAAATTAAGCTAAAAATAAATATTTGAAAAGAAAGTCTGTTCAATATTTGATAGATACGCACGATGTATTTTTTAGTCCATGTAATCAGTTGTTGGAACACGGGCCAGTATATCAAGGTATCAGTCTGTTCGCTATGGTTACTCTGAACGTGAACTTTTCTGTTATTCCCTGTAGTAATAACAGTTGACGGTAGTGAGCCTTTATTCTGTGGCAGTCCCTGGGTAAGTGCTTCACTGTCATCATCACATTTAATTTCCACAGCAGCCGTGTAATTGGGATACTCTTATCTCCATTCTTCAGAGAACCTGAAGCCCAGGGAGGAGAACTAAACCGCTTGAGGTCATGAGGCTAGGAAGGCCGTCAGTGGAGTAGAATCTGGGTCTGAACTGAGTCCACAGTGAGGCTCTAGCCACAGATTACGCCTCCTCCTTGGTTACACCATCTGAAAAACAGACCCCCCTTGTTAGACTGCCCCTACTCTGAGTTTAGGAAAGATGAAACACTGGTTTCCAGCCAGGTATGACTGTGCGTGTCTGCAATCCCAGCACTCTGGGAGGCTAAGGCAGGAGGGTCACAGTTTCAAGCCCAGCCTGAGGGACTTAGGGAGACCCTGTCTCAAACAGTTTTAAAAAGCTGGGGATGTTGCTCAATACAAAGGCCCTGGGTTCAACCCCTAGTACAAAAAAAAAAAAAAAAAAAAGTCCTTCCAAATGACTTTAGTTAAGGAACAAACCTGGAGCTATGATTTGCTTTGAAAATCTTCCTGAAATGAGAGCAACAGTGATTTGTGCATTGCGAGGCCAAAACTACCACCACACATAACCCATTTCTTGTTTTGCCTCTGGTTAGCCTCAAGTTCTTTCTTTTACTTCATATCTTTGAAAGGCCTTACACATGCGTTACTGACAGCACACCCAGAACCATATTTTAGCATTCCATGAAGTCCATTTTGAGAATCAGATTACTACACCTATTTTTAGCTCTCAACACAAACCCCTCTTTCCGTTACATTTTTAAATACTCTGTGATAAAGCAATATTGAACACGGCTCTGATAGCCCAGTGAAAATCCTATCCTTGATTCAGTCAGGCCGGAGACACTGCCTGGCCCCGATGAAACCACATTACTGAGGCAGCTCCCTACCTGCGCCTGTCTTCTGGGTTTGGAACTCTCTCCCCATCTGCTGCTATATTTATCTGCCTGCTTGGCCATAAAAGGCTGGCTGTGGGGCCTGACATTCTGCTGCCTGACCACATGCCTTATTTTTGAACTGGGCCCCAGGGTCCTGTCTCCAGTCCCGCCTCTTAACTTTTCCTTGGATTCAGCCTAGCTGAGGTTTTCATTGTCTCCTCCAGCTCCTCACGGCATCGGAACATTTCCATCACCGTCGGTCCTTTGGAAGCTGGTAAGCGTGACATTGGCGCAGAAAAATGTGCAGTCATTTTTGTGCTCGACAGTGCATGCTTCTTCCACCTTCTCAGCTCAGCAGTTTTCTCACAGCGATGTCAAAATAGCAGAGAAATCAGAAAGCGAAGCTCCTGGAAGGGAAACTGGGACAGCAAGGTGCCAGCAGCCTCCTGGGGCTGTCCTCTCTGATCACTGTATTCTCATTGAATTGAGTTCCTGGTGCTGGCCCTCTAAGATCGTGTCTGTCTTAGATTCAACTGTAAGTGCAAGTACTTTCCAAGGTACAGTTCAGAAGTTCGGTTCAGATCTGGAATGGCTGAGGGGCAGGAAAGCTTGTGTTTTCCTTCCTCTCTGTGCCTATGGTTCTCGATTACAAATTAAGCCCCCAAGGAGGCAAATGAACCTTGCGGTCACAGAATGTGATTCTGGGACTGTGAAGTGTGGGTGAATGCTTGAGTGCTTCATGATCCTCTGAATTTGCCTCTATAAAAGTATCGCTTCAAGATTGCAACTGTAGAATTTGTACTTCTTCCTAAATTCTCATGTTATTTTCAGAAAGCAAATGTAGGTTTTAAGGAAACGGAAGACAAGAAAATCATCTTTCTTTCCAACAAAATCTAGCAATTGTGTACTGGGGTAATCCCTGCCTACACGACGAAGTGAGAGGAGTTAGTCTTTCTGCCTGGAGGTCAGCCAGCTCTGGCGACTTAAAGTCAGACCCTGGTAACTTGTAATAAACAATCAATGCATGTGGAAGATTAGATATCATTAAAAATGATTATACTGGGGAAAACTAGAGTGGCAAATAGAACTGGGGAAAACTATTTGAAGATTTTATTTTGTAAAAATTACAGCATTTCAAATCCTCTGGTCAGCGATTTCACAATGCAATGGACCTTTATTGTTTACTTGGAAGTGATTTTAAAGTAACATTTGCCATGTGACAGTGTGGTATGTATCATTATAGAAGCTTACCTAATATCTGTACAGCTGCCTCACACAATTCTGTATTAACATAGTCTAACTCTTGTCCTATCAAAGTTCACCTAATAACTATTAATTATGCAATGATAATTATTCTGTATATTTAATAACGGAAAATAACAATCTGTTTAAGGGTTGAAGCAGAGTTGCTTGCTAGCAGCTTTTTTTTTTTTTTTTTCCCTTTTTGGGAAATGCCTTGTAGACTGATATCTTCCATGAGACCTAAGATAAATATTTCTGGAGTGAAGTTTACTGGGTTTTCTTCTCTAGGGAATACATACTGACTTTTTAAATAGTTTAAATAAAAATTATTTGGAAATCTGACCCAAAAAAGATGATAATTTTAGAAGGATTTACTCCTCAATAGGATTTCAAGAAAAACAAGGTTTGGGAGGGAAAAAGCCCTGATTACTTAAAAATGGATTTTTCTTATGAAACTTTAAAAGAGCATTTTAAAATATGAACAAAAGCATTTTAAAAACAGGGTGGGGAGCTCAATAATGACCTCATTTCAGGTTGTCCACATGGCCGATGGCCTGTCAGTGAGATTATCTAAGAGAGGCAAGCAGGGTGAAGGGTGTCTTTCCAATGCTAGGCAAACTTCCCTTTGACATTCAGAACTGTCCACTCAGGTTCACAGTGCCAACTGCCCCACGGAGGATCAGCTCTCCCACTTCTTAGGTAAGAAGATGGGAAGCCTTCAGATTCCTAATCAAACCTTTTTCTGGTTTGAAAGTATGCCTTTCTGAAGTGCCCATGTGATTTGAGAGTCTGTATATAACATCACTGTACTCCAGGGCTCAGTCCCAGCACTTAGTTTTCCATTTATAATTGCTCTGATCTGTTTTCTTGGCTTTCCTTACTACTTACACGTGGTGTCCCAAATGTGGATACCCATCCTGGATTTCTCAGTACCCCAGAATCACACGTCCAGCTTCCCACTGAACACCACTTGGAGGTCGACCAGGTGTCTCAAATGCAGAGCAGCTCTGCAAGGTGTTGCTCTGTGATAGAGCATTTACTTACATGTGTAAGTCCCTGGATTCAATCCCTGGTACTGAAAAATAAATACAGATCCTATCAAGCCAATCTCCTCCTCTTCTACCCCAAACTGATGACTTCTTGTACTCCCATCTCGGTTAATAGCAACTTCAGTCTTCTGGTTGCTCAGACAAAAGCCTTGGGGTTCTCTCTTTGGCCCTCAGAACTTCCAGCAGCGCCATTGGCTCTACCTCAGATTGTGTGTACGCTCTGAGCACTTCTCACACTTGCTGTGCTGACCATGGCCCTCACTCCCTGGGCCACTGCAGTGGCCTTTGTGTATGTGTGCGCTGCCCTAGGGCCACCTTAACAAAGTACTATAGGCCAGATAGCATAGCCAACAGACATTTACATCATTGCCATTCTGGAGGCTGGAGAGCTAGGACCAGGGTGTTGGGGGGATTGTTTTTCTGAGGCCTCACTTGGGCTCATGTTTGACTCCTCTCTGTGTCTCTGTCTCCACACAATCTTCTGATATGTGTCTGAATTTCTTCTTCTTATATGGACACCAGTCATACTGGACTAGAGCCCTCCTCATTTTAATTTATTTTTTAGGTCCCCAAATAAAAGGTAGGTAATAGAAAGCAGGGAGATAGATCTTTTGCAGAAGGGATGGGGTCCAAGAGATGGAGGGAGTGGCTAGGGAAGGGAAGGGGAAGTAAAAAGAATTAGGATGAGCTTTGTGCATGTACCAACTCCCCATGATGAACATCATCATTATGTATCGCAAACACGGACTAGTAAACATGAAAATTAATAAAATGTATTCATCCCTTCCCACACGGAACTTCATCCTTTTCTGCCTGCTCTTTGAAGAGACAAGAGTGTGAATTCTCTCAGGTTGATATAGACTTGTTCTGTGGAATTTGTTCCCTAGTAGTTCACTCAAGAATCATTGTCTTCCTGTAGGTCGACTACTTCCCTGAGGGGCACAAGATGGCTTTGCCTTTTTATCAGAAGTCCCACCAGCACTATGACCTCAGCTACCGCAACAAGGACCTTCGTACCACCATGAGCCATTACCAGCAGGACAAGAAGCGCTCTGCCATCTACACACATGGCTCCACGGCCTACACTAGCCGCTCCTCTGCCGCCCACCGCCAGGAGTCTGAGGCCTTCAGCCAGGTGGCGGCCTCCTCCAAGCAGCAGGCCTCACACTACTCCTTTGGGGCTGAAGTCAGTCGCAAGTCTGCCTCCGCCTACGATTATGGCTACTCCCATGGGTGAGTTGGGAGCGGCCTTCCAACCTGGGGAGAGGCACATGCTCTGAATAACCCTCCCAGCCTCTTTGGCTTTCTCCTTAAATCTGACGGCCCTACAGCTGTGGAGAGAGCCAGTTCTGCGAAACCCGAGGCCCGTGTCTGTATTACCTGTTTCCCTTTCTTGTCTCTGAGATTCACAGTCACACTGGTGGTGTTTAGTTGCCAGCCGTGACATTTCTAGAAGTGGGGGAACTTGCCACAGGTAACTTCAGTGGCAGCAGAGTCAGAAAATATCGCTTCAGCACTCAGAGCAGGTTTCCCAGCTCTTGTAATGTTTCTGCTTAGAAAGCTTGCATAGAATCTACAATGCACAGGTCACAGGAGACTACACTGCAGTGGAGATGTGTTCTGTTTTTTCAATATCTGAAAGGCAGTATTCAAAATTCTGAGCTATAGGTCAAGCAGCAAATCCTTTGTTTACCTGGAGCATTTTATTGGAAAACATGGCCTTATTTCAGTCAGCCTAAGAACAACAGAAACAACCCTGTTTCCAACCAAATTAGATCCATTGGCCTCCTGTAAGGAGGGAGACTCTATTCTAGACAAGAGTTATTTTAGGATTCTAGGAAGAGTGGACTTCAGATGCATGTCTGGTCTGAAAGGCAAACCTGGGATCTCATTTCTTTAACAATAGAATCAAGATAAATGTGGGCTGTTGTATCCAGAATGGGAGCTCTTTGTCTGGGTTGGGACCTAGACAGCTTTTCTGGGTCAACAAGTGACGGATTCTCCAGATGAGAGTGAGATATTTCATTCTTGCTGATGCAGTTTCAAACAGCGAACATACTGGTCAGTATCAGAGGAGAAAGTTTCACGGTGAGTCTGTAGGCTCTTGAAGAAGGCGGTTACCATGATACCACAAAGCAGCCGTGTCCCTGGGAGAAATGCCCTTTCCCGTCGACTTTGCCGTAGGCTTTCCTATGTCTGTTGGTCCAGCCCGACAAATGTTGTGGGAGACGTTTAGTTTCTCAGCCTAAAGCAATATTTATTTTCTTGTTAGTCAGAATGAAATATTTCATGGGCATTTAGAGACCACTTTTTTGCAAGGTACATGGGATCTTTATTAACGTCCATAGCCTAGAGAAAGAATTGCTGATTTAGTCTGGGCTATGTAGTGAGACACCGGGTGCCTTTAAGCCTTTTCTGGCAAAAGTGCCATTTTTTTGTTATAATATAATTTTAAGTCTTCCAAAACTTGAATTCACAAAATATCTCACAGGGGAACTGGAAAAAGTGTTTATGTCTAGGCATCTAAGCAGTTATTGAGGAAATAATAGAGTGGCTTGTATGAACAGATAAGAAGAAGGCTTCTCCAGGCAGACACCTCTAACGCCCTGTTGGGTCTCAGCAGCACCTGATCTACAGCTGTCATTTTGTCTGCAACAGTGACCTCCTGGGAGTGTGTCAGGCTCAGCGGCAGAAGCAGGGCCCGCTGGGGTTTACCTGGGGTACACTACGGCTCTGACATCCCATTTCGGATGGAACAGGATCGTTTTGTACTCTTGATTTCAGAGGCCGTATTCTGCCATGGGATATCGCTGAGGACCTTGTGTTGGCTGCACATATGGAAATAGTGTCACTGAGCCGAAATTTGTTTCTTTTAGCACTTGCTTCCAATGAACTGCCTTCCAGAGAAAAGTTGGGAGGAATTAACACTGGGCGTACATGGCAGCATCACTTTATCCTCCTGAAAAATGTTCCGTGGGTGTGTTCAAGAACCTCATTTAGGAAAGCAGCTGTCTTGTAATAGCGGAGGATTACATTTTTCTGGACTGTATGTGCCGGAGGTGTAGAAGAAGATGGGTATTGCATTATCATGCAGTTGTTACTGTAACTTCTTGTGTACTTACTTCGTTTTCCCAGTGTGAAAGAATCTATAGAATTTCATGTACTTGAATTTTTTTTTTTTTTTCTGGTACCAAGGATTGAACTCAGGACCTTGCACTTGCCGGGCAGGTGCAGTGCCACTGAGCTAAATCCCGGGCCCTGTATTTGAATTTTTAAATTTTCTTTATCTCTTCATCTCTTTTGCTAAATGTTATGTTGACTTTATACAAGTCTTTAGCAATGTGTGTGATATTCATATTTATTCGTAATCTGATTTATCAAACATTAATAATCAAAAAAGATTTGCTCTATATAATCTTTGGGAAAAGATCTTTGGAAAAATGCAGTCATTTTTTTATGCTCAACATCATATCATTCCTTCCTACTATGTACATATTTATGCACATACATAGGAATTTATTAATGGCTGCCATGTTTGAATAACTCAAGCTTTGGGTAGAAACATGCTAAGGTAGAAATAAGAGGTGGAAGAAAATGCTGCCTGTTTTCCTTCATACCATGCAATGTAAAAGACAAAGCAGACCGTCCTAATCCAGGAGGTATTTCAGTTGCTTTTTTTAGAACTAGAACTAACAGGTGCGGGTAATATTGTTTTGAATGTTTTCCGATCTTCCTAACTGCTTCAGGTTGTGCTCAAGCTTACTCTGGGTGGAATGACTTTTTTCTTCTAAAGGAAGCCCAAGCATGATCTCTTTGGACCATGAGCAGTGTCGTTGATGGAGACCCTCAGAGCTGGAAATGCACCAAATGCCCCAAGTGTGGGGTGCATTACTGAGAACTAGGCCTTGTCTGTTTTTAGCATCTGCTTTGTAGTTAGATGGCCAGTGAGTGGAAACTATGGGGAGTTATATGTGCTCAGGGCCTGGCTGACCTCCGTGAGTCTTAGGAACAGTGGCTCGCTCAGTGGCAGTGTGGTTGCAACACGGCTGGTTACTGACTGGATGGTGGAAGGGTCCCTCTAGATGCCTTTATGATTGGTCACAGTGAGAAAAAAACCCAAAGAAAGCACAAAACCTCCTGGAATGGCAAGATTATTTTTATACTGATAATCAACAAGTGTTTTCAGGGACTAGCAGGAAACTAGTCCTCATGGCCACTTTGCCACCATTAGGCAAAGGTTCTCAACCTCTGTTCCAAGTGGATTCCGACAGAATCTTGGATAATCTGAGATGATCCAAGTGTGGAATCTGATGTATTCCACCAGTGTGCACCGTTACATACAGCTGAATTCCTGGGAGGGAGGGACTGTAGCATTCATCAGAGTCTCAGAGAACTCCACAGCCTCACAGAGGTCAAAGCCACTGATCTAGAAAGTCTGCATGTAAATTCCAGATGGCCACGTGTCTGACCTGAGCGCCCTGCTCCAATGCTAATAACCTAAAGATTTAGGGTAAAGTAAGACAGATGTCTTTAGAGAACATGGTCTTAGGAAAGCAGGTGCCTCCGTTCTTAGGAGTAAGCAGATCGCACATGAAGGTGGAAATAACTAAAGGAACAGCCTACTGTAGTTGAAAGGAGGAATGAACAGCTTTTAAAGCCACAGAACACCACAGCGGAGTTTGTGGAAGATGAAAGGATTTCGAGTTGACTCCTAACCCTCCACAGTAACGGTGGAGATTTAATTTTCTTACAGAGAACCAATGGAAATTCAGCCCATATGAAGCATGTCAGTTCTGCATCTTGTATACTGCAGAGTCTTTACAATAACTGTGGGAGTAGAAATTATCACCTCGTTCTACAGATAAGAAAATTGAAGGCCAAGGCTATTAAGTGGCTTTTCTTCATTACCCTCAGAAGTGACAGAATACAGATCTGAACTCCCATACTGTGTTGGCTCCACCCTGTCCTCTGGTTCCTGGTGACAGGTTACAGTCAGCAACTTCCCTCAGCCATATCGCCATCAGATTTTTCTGGAAGCATCAATATTTACTTCTGTACTGCTCTTGCCTTTTATTTACTCTTCCCATGCAGAAACCATTGAGACCCAAAGAAACCAAGATTTAGAGCAGGGAACAACACGGAGATGGGCACAAATTCCAAGGAATTCTGGGAGAGAAAACCAAAGGGTGATCGTGCATGCCGGACCTGGCCCTGGCCAGACTCTAACCCGTCATCTAGAGTTGCACAGGGAGATATACAGGGGCTCTGAGCGACCTCCGTCTGAGGATTGGAACACTGAGTGTCTTTCCCAGGGCACCCAGCCTTTAACTACTCTTCACCTACAGTTACTGACCGATCCCCACGAAAGCTGCCCAGAACGGAACCTCCTATGAAACCGCTACAGTTTGAGCTGGACGTGGGGGCGCACACCTGCGGTCCCAGCACCGGGGAGGCCGAGGCAGAAGAATCGTTGCGAGTTCGAGGCCAGCCTGAATGACACAGGGGGATCCTGTGTAACAAACAAACAAAACAAAACAAAAGCAAAAAGAGAGAAACTACTAGAGTTTGAAAAAAACCACGGTAACATTCAAATTAGTTGTAATCCAGCCAGAAGACACCAGGGCCGAAAGACAGACCTCTGAGCGCGAGCGGAACGGAGGAGACCTAAAACTCAGTCCGTCTCCCACCCTAAAATGGTTGCAATGCGTGGCATCAGGGGACATCTGTTGCCCGCCCTCAACTATCAGCCCGAGATTGGTGTCACATCCATTTCTGGATGTCACAGTGGGCCACGGGGTCCAACAGGCCCGTGCACACTCCGGCAGGCACGTGACTTCCGGTAACCTACTGAACTTCCCGGTTTCTTCACCTGTAAAACGAGGTTCCTTGCGTTCCGAGGTCTAAAGGGCGATCGTGTAAGATGTGCAGTGTGGGAGCTGGCTCACGGGGAATGCAGTGCGGTCGAGGCATCACTCATTCATTCAACAAATACTGAGTGCCTCCTGGGTGCTGAGTTCCGCCCTAGGTCCTTGGAGTAAATTACTGAACACAGCACGCAGTGCGGTCGAGGCATCACTCATTCATTCAACAAATACTTACTGAGTGCCTCCTGGGTGCTGAGTTCCGCCCTAGGTCCTTGGAGTAAATTACTGAACACAGCACGGTGAATTCTGTATTATGCCAGAGGGTAATAAACGTCACGGAAGCAATACAAACAGAGTAGGGGAGAGGGC